GGATTGGTTCCAGCCCACTGCGACCCTGTTCAGGATAAGCAGTATAAAAAATGGATGGATGGATATCATATTTTTGATTTTTATGATCATTAACCTGGGTTTTGTTGGGACTTTATTATGTCCTGTGATATTCTAGATTCGGTTTCACAGCCTTTAAAGAAAAAGATTCTGGAGCAACACTGAATTTTTTACATCAGTCAGCTGGCGATAACGAGACATAGAAGCAGTAATTACAAAAGAGTCAGCTTGATCTTAACCTTTAAGGGTGAGTGACAGCAGCCTGGTTGCCATGGGGATAGTATAGAACCGCAGACTGCCTTACATAGTGCTGTATTGTATGTTTCAGCTTCAAGTAAAGTATCACAGGCTGCTCTAAGGGCAGAGGAAATTCAAGCTCCATGCTGCGCTGCTTTTTTTAGTTTCACAGTTGGTGACGGTTTGGAGATGCAAGTTTTTCACATCACAACAGCGATGAGGGACACGGTGGCTTGAAGTGGCCATGATTACTATGAAAGCCATGTGTGATGCATGCCTTTGTGTGTATGTGCACATAAGGGTGTGTTGTGCATGTTCTGGAGCGCCTGCTGTCTTTGATGATAATGAAGTGAGCTCTCAACACCACCTCAAACACATCCCTTCAGCATGGGCATCTGTGTGTGTATAAATGTGTGAACGTGTGTGCGTTTGTGTCAGATAAGAGACCAACCCGATGGTGTTTTAATGAAATTAATCAAAAAAACTGGAAATCGAAACATTTTGTGCTATGTGATAACAAAATGTCATTTTGCTTTCTGGCTATAATTGGCTGCTTTTTAATAAGAGATTACTTGTTCAGTCATTTCGCTTTGTGCATAATAGAGTTTTAGTTCGGCTGGTGGAAAATAGTGATCTCAGTGGCTGAACCAAGCCACATTTGGTGAAGCGAAAAAGGATTTTGAAAAACGTGGAGATCCTAAGTCCATAGGCAACAGCTTTTATTAATTCATTTGGCTGCTCGGTTACATTTAGCAGTGCAAATATTGTTTCTGAGCCTAAAATTAGATCGGAAATAGCATAATATGTGTGTCAGAAATATCATTAAGGACAGGATCTCAGTGTCTTCCATGACAGTTAAGGTCTTGGAGCCAAAAAAATCAAGAAAGGAAGCATTAGGCCAATTTAGCTGGCAAATCTGAATAAAAATAAGGAAACTAAAATTCTTAAAATGGTAAATGGACTGTATTTATATAGCGCATATTTCACAGTGTGTTACACTGGCCAAAGCGCTTTACAGGAGATCATACACATTCACCCATTCACACACACATTCACACACCGATGACGACAGGCTGCCGCACACTGGCTCCAGTCGAACCACCGGGAGCAATTTGGGGTTCAGTGTCTTGCTATGATAAAAAAACAAACATTTTTCTTTGGTTTTACCAGCAATCTGTGACACTTTGGGTACTACGAAAAGGTGAGCACCCTGTTACAAAGTGTAGCAGAATATATGATTGAAAGCATAAAAATATAATGTTTCCTAGTTTCAAAGCAGCCTCACAGTTGAACAGTGCAAAAAACAGCAGAATATTTTTTTTATTTACAATTAAACTCATCTTCAAGGTGTAACAATCAAAAGTAGTTTTCCATAAAAAGGCCCAGGTGTTTTTTCAGACAACAGAATCAGCTGACAGAAGGAATACATGGATCTAGACCTTGTTATTGACTTCATACATGATCAATTTCACAGTAAAATGGCCTCAGAGTGACACAGTAGCTCCACATGCAGCATGCAAACTAGACACAAGAACATGGATGACCTATACATAATCTGTTCTCAACATCACTTTGCTCATAATTAAAGTAGTACAGCTCAATTTGTCTGCAGAGCGATGAATCACACAAGTGCGGCACAATGACAAAGAATGAAAGTTAAAACCTAAATTTACACAGAGGGCTTCTTTCTGATCTCACCAAGAAAGAAACTACAAAGCCTTGATGTCACTGTATGTAATAAAACAAAAGATGGCAGTAATTACCTAAAATGACAGGAGAAGTTAATCATAAATCATAGTGAAGTCTGTAATCTTTATACTTTATCAAGAATACAAAACACTGATAGCTCAGGTAGATCTTTAGTTTGAATGAAAGATGCAGCATTTTGCTGGATATAATTAAAGTTACAGCTCTTTGCAAACCCTTACCCGCTAATTTAAAACACCATGTTGCCCTTCACAGTACACCTAATTTACATATTTGAATTTTAATGACATCTACCTAATTACAGTATTTGCTGGTTCATCTGCCATTTAAAGGAGGCCAGATGATGCAGTGTGTGTGTGTGTGTGTGTTATTTCTGCCTGTCAACCACTGAGGTGTCTCTCCAGCTCTCTGTGCCTGATGATGTTTCCATCTGTGGAGATAGTATTTCTCTACCTGTGTCTCTTTACCTCCAAGGCAAAAAAGACAGGCCCCCAGTTTACTTTGTGGCAATTAGTTTGTGGTTTTCTGATTAATAACAAATGTAGACTACAGTAAAAGTATTTCCACACCTATGTAGTTTAATCAAGCACAAGTTTAATCATTGTATTTCTTTTGGTTTTTGCACACCAGTGAAAGAAAATTAAATCATGTTGTTTCTTCTATCAGAAATAAGAATTTGATGTCATTTTTTCTATCTAGGGTTAAAGCTAAAAAAGAACAAGGCGATAGCAGGAGTTTGTTTCTCAAACTGACTAGTCCACAACCTTATTTTGCTGACGATCTGAGTCATCATCACAGCTTCCAACATTTCCAGCGTGTTGAGAGGCACCCTGCCATTTGGTGGAAGGCATGATTGTCTAATGAAAAGCATAATATCATAATGAGTTCATACACTGGTGACCACATGCACGAAGTACACTTTCATCATAGACCTTGTTCCTGTGCACTACAATAATGTTTCACATTTTTGCATCAGAATTTCAGTTCAGACACTGGGGGAGCAACGGCTTTATGTTCAATAGCTATTAAAATGATGAGGGTTTTAAACTACCTCCCCTATTTTCTTTTTTTTTGGGCTTAAAAATCTAGTTTTATTACTTTACTTATTTCAGTTGATATTGTGCTTAAATTCCAAAATAAATTAATTAAATTACCACCAATGTACTCACATTCAGGACACCTGCGGCATTTAGCATTCCAGGAGTTCAACGCAAAATATGGTGAAGTTGCTAAGTGCAGTCTGCTGGGTGCACTCTACCGAATGGAACTTAAAGGCAACAGGATACATGCACTAGGAATGGAGGGTCAGTAAAAGCTCACAGTTCATTTCACTTCAGGGGATAGTTTACAATCCTTTTAGTAAGCAAAGCCAGTCACCTACTTCACCTTTTCTGCAGCTGAAATGGCCAATAATACAGCCTGCACTTCAGTCATCAGGTGTGTATATGGGTATTATGCTAACAAGCATCGTAACACATTGTAAATATATTAAGGTAAACAGAGAATGTAAACATATGAATGAGAGTGAGATGTGCAGTAAATTAATCAATGAGACCAGTCATGCTTCCTTCCTATAAATTCTTTATTCAATATCTTTGTTTTCTGTGTGTATACAATGGATTGAACACAAACTGTACAGTGCAGACAAACTGTGTTTGCATAATATGTATGTTAAGGTAACTGTACATTTACTGACAGACAGAGAAATCTCCTTTAAAATTAGCACCAGTCACATTTTGCCTTTGGTTCTTCACTGTCTTGGTTTGCACCTGCACAGGCTAATTTCTTCTTCACAGACTTTTGGGCAACTACTTTGAATCCAAACATATAATTATTTGCACAAGCATCCAGGCTCTAGCGTCACCTAGCTTTGTTCCAGCAACATCATATTGCTGTACATCATCAGTTCAGAAAATCAGGTGTAATAAAGTAACATAAAACACAAATTATTCTGAGTAAGAAAGGTTTTTTAATGCAGACCATTAACTATAAAATCAAAGGTAGTGTTAGATTTTGTTCCTGGAGTGCATCTCCAGTGTTGCTAAAATATGGCTTCAGGCCACCAGTGGGTGCAAGCCACTTAGTGAACTAGGAAGAAAAGTTGTCATTTACTTTACGTCTGCATTTATTGGTCACTGCCTAGAGACTAAAGACTACCTACCATCCTGTGCATTTGTATTTTCAAGACCAATATATGTAGTATGATGGCCCTTGATCATCTATTTCTACATGTACTACCACTGTTAAAAGAAGAAGCAAGGATATTAAGCACTTTCCTGTTCTTGTGTTTTTGTTTCATAACTAGAAGATCTTGCTTTTGGTGACTTAAATACTGCTGTTCTGCTTAAACTACCCCAGACAGGACATGCATTAGTGGAAACAATGTTACTGCTATTAAGGAATTTTGATATATTCTTCCTTTGCTCCATTACTGCAACGATGAAGGGCAAACCCCTGACAGAAATGAGCCAGAGGCAAAGATTTACTGGTGCTACACTGCAAAGTTTGTTTTGAATTGATAACACAGTTCCTACACTTCCACATGCATTAGCTCCTGTCATCATTCCTCCTTTAAAAAACCATGCATCAAATGGGTAACAGTCCAGTGAGGAGGAGGAGAAAAGAGGAGGTGGGAGTACTGTAAGTTCTCTGGCTGCATGATTACAAAACGGGCAGAGCAAAAGCTAGCATAGTTACAGTGAACAGAAGATAGGGGATCAAAGGATAATTAAAAAGTAAAATAGAATGAAGACTGTGTTTGTGTGCGTGGGATGAGTGTTTCGAGAAACAGCAGGGAGGAAAGCACGTTTACTGTCTTGTTGGAGATTTAGATGTAATAAGGCAGTCGTTTGAAAGAGGAATAAAGTGGAAAGGGAAAAAGAAATGGCAAAAGAAACCTGAGGGAGACAAGCTACATCATGAGTACAGTGCTAACCATTACACGACTATAAAGTGCACCTGCACCGCAGTGGTCAGGTCACGAAAGCCTTTCTGTCCTATTGTGTCTCATCTTGTGTCCATTTTGTGCCTTCTGATTTCACAGCTGCAGTTCACACAGGACAAAGTAAGATGGCTACATGTGTACCCGCCATGAGAACATGAGTGGTACTTGCATGTGGAAATTAAAATTAGAACAGGTTGTAGTGACTGCTCACTTCTAATTAAATCAGCCACTCTCTTCCAGTGTGCAACCTGCTGTTAGATATCTCATAATTGTAGCCTTGGCACCTGTAACCACTGGTGGAGGGGAATCTCTCAGGAGATGCTGACAGTAATTGTGCCTTTGTTGTTTGGACCAGGAGCTGTGGAACACTGCTGTAGCAGTGTCTGTGGTCAGCATCCAGGAAAGCAGGGCATTTTTCTCTGGCTTCAACTGTCATGTGTCACAGATCTCCAACAGCTGCTATCACAGGATGTGAACCCCTGTGCTAACCCAACAAGCTAGGCCTTGCTAAACACAGGATGGCTCGGTTCCTTTGCTAAGTTAATCTCACTCCTCCTCCCACAGTGTAGGACAAATTAGCTGGTTGATAATCATTCAGTGAGTAGCAGTTGCTGTCCTGGAGTCTTGGGGGGATATTTATTAAGCCAGTAGCAAAACATCGTCAGGTGCGCAAAATATTGTGGCACCGCAATTTTTCAATTTAGCAGAGTATTAATTAATATGCAGCGTTAATTTGAATACACCTCTGCTTAGGACCTGCTTCCTGTAGGCTGTTGTGCATGTGTGGACCGAGAGGACGCACAGAAGAAAGTGTCGGTCTATACTGACTGAACTTTAATGTGGTTGAAGAAATCAACACACATATTTTGGAACTGCACTCATGCAGTCTCCTGGTTTGACCTGAAAGCTTGTAAAGGTCCCTAACATCCTCCTCTGGCGAGTGATGCAAACATTTCAGCTGTAGTTCCCTCTGTCACAGCAGTGGTAAATCAGGTGCTGAAAGTATTTGTATAAATTTCCATTCTCTCTTCCCTTATTTTGCTGAGTCTGGTTCAACTTTTGCCACAATGGACGGTGACATCATCCAGCAAAGGTGCTGCGCTGACCAATCACATATGGGGGATGGTCAGGGTAGAAGCCTCTTTTGTTTACTTTGTTACCATGAGATTCACAGCTATTCATTCTTGAATCTGGGCCACAGTTAGTGCTCTATAATGACATGTCATGCACTTTCATTACTTAGGGTACTGGATGATAAACTGTGGTTTTTATCTATCAGTGCAGACACACTGGTAGCGTAGGCTACGTTCGCTGCATTGTTAACCGAAACACAGTGGAACCTCATGGGCTGGAAACATGAATGAAGCCACTCATGTCGACTCATCACGACATGGCTGTATCATACACGCCTAAAACAATCCCCTCTGAAACCCCTCACACCACTGACCAAAACACAGCAGGGAGTTTTACCGCACTCAATCTGAAAGCAGACAGTAAATATGAACACTGTTTAATGCCAAAAAGTGATCCGCAAAATCTTAGTAAATATCCCCCTGCTTCCCATTGAACCTTCTAATGAACACAAACATCAGCCTCCATACTGTCATTAAAATGGCTTTGTTGAAAAGTTCTGCACAGACACAGGCAGAGGAGAGAACACAGAACACTTTAAAAAATAAAAAGGAAGTTTACAGACCTGATTGTCAGGGTTTTGTCTTTCCTTTTTTTCTTTTTTTTAACATTTTTGATAGTAACCCTAGTGTGACACAACAATAAACGTTACATCCACATTTCTTTGACGTGAGACAAGCACAACACCGGTCAAACAAAGTCTTCCTCATCAGCACCACCATCCCACTGAAGTCAAGCATCATGACTTTAAGATTTTGGAAATCTTGGGTCAACCCTGTTGGGACTGAGGAGGGCTGAGCATTTAGCAGAGATCTCCTATCTTGAGCTTGGCTGGGGATGAGAGGCACTCACATTGTAAGAATCTACAGAACAACCTAACACTTTCTGATGCTCTGACAGCAGTAATACACTTACTAATTGCAGATTTTCAGTATCAAGGTTACAATTTGGTGACACAGAAAATTAAAATGCTAAATTCTGATCTTTTGAATCTGTTTTTCACACATACTTGGTTTACATTTTGGCTTAAATAAAGTGCTTTTTGTAACTGGGAACAACAAACTGAATGAGTTTATGTAATGTGAGCTAGTCAGCCACACATATTTGAACACAAAGGCCAGTAACAGCTAATGAAATCAGAGGAGGAGGTGGTGTATGTGAGATATGCCAATTAGAAACACTGTGAACTGTCAAGAATTTTCAGTCTCTTTTCAGTAGCAGACTGCATCCTCCGTACAACTCAGACACACACAGCACCTGTTGCTGAGGCTGGGGATGCAGCTGATTTAGTGCTTGTTTCATGTCGGAACAGGTATGAGGATTGACCGTACAGACTTGATTTTTGTCGGGTGGTTGTTTCTTTGTGGTCATTTGACTTCAGCAAAGATTTGATTAAAATGCAAAGTGGTCATTTTGGCCAAAAAAGGGATTCAAAGAAAGAAGATTGCACAGTTTCTATCTAATAATAAATATATTCATATTCTGCCTCATTTTCACTGACACTAATATGAAGTGTGGGATCACAGCATTAATACCTCCTCAGCGATACTGTATGACCAACTGCTGCTGTAACCTTTGAGGAGTTAACTGCCATATAGTCTTGCTGACAATGTATGATTATACAGAAAGGTGCCGAACAGGACTCGAGTCCAGAACAGATTGGTGCCATGTTGACTGTCACAGTGAGAGGGTGAAGCATGGGAATCTATTTGGTATAATTACATTTAATTTTCTGCCTTGCAGTTATCCACGTTTCACGCAAACCCATTTTGCAGTGATTTCATTTGATGACAGTTTCGTGTAACACCGTAATCAATCTGTGCAGTTTGTTTTTGGTGGCTACTTTCTACAGAAACCACATTCATAATACTTTTGAAGTAACCGCAACTGATTTTACTGTGCATGCTAATTTAAAGCCACTATGTGTAATTCTAATTTTTGGTGGACTTTACACAAATCACCTAGCAAATCTGCAACACATCTTTTATCTTTATGTGAGATTAATGTGTCTTTTTACATGGTTCTTGACAAATAAATGAAGTAAACTAATATAAACACTCTCAATCTTTGGTGAAAAAATTAAAGTTTCTCCTGCATGGAATGTGCACGTGAGTGGAGCTGACAGTCATCCTGCTCATATCCACTCGGATCTTAAAAATACTGACACTCAGATCTGCAGCTACATACAATATATGTACTCAAGGACTCAGTTTTGACATATTTAGTAGTTTTAACTGTTTACACATTTTAATTCAGAGAAAAATATTATACTCTTTATTCTTTTTTACATTTATTTCACAGCTAAACTTAGTAGTTGCTTTTCAGAGTTTACATAAAAAACATTATAACCTTGTATAAAAGCGCTGTTAACGATTAAACCAGTGGTTCCCTTGTCATGTGTCAGTTGTTGGCCTTCAGCAAACAGAAATAATTAAGAGAAAAGTTTGGAAAATGACTCATTTTCTTTCCTTCCTCATCAATCAGACGGATCAGCTGATCAAGAACCACTGTACTAGCAATCAAGCAATGTAGTTAAATAAGCTCCACTACACCTGTAGTAATCTAAAATTGTAATAACAGTGTAACACTGAGAGGAGCCATTTTTCTGCAGAACAAGTTTGATGATAGAATTTTTCTACCTTTATTAAGTAGGATTTTGAATGAAGGCCCTTTGCATGTTGGGTCATATTTTTCCACTGTGGTATTAGTACTTTAACTTTAGTAAAGGATTTGAACACTTGCAGTAATAGAGCAGGACCTCACCAGGCCTGATCAGACTGGGTCCAAGTGGGCGTGTGCGTCTACATCCATGTCTTTTTAAAGTCAGAAATGTCCAAATTCTACACATAGTGGCTTTAACATGATTTACCCTGTTTACTGTTACCCTAACTTTACTTTCATGTACTTGGGAAGGTAACAGAAATCGCAAGTACTTCCAGGCCCCTCATGACTGAGAATGCCATCAGACTGGTTTTGAGGTTTGGCTCTCCCTCAGTTAAACCTCATTCTACAATATCTGCTACTCCGTGTAAACACTGACTGCTACCATGCTGCTTGGACAGCAGCATGCCTCCTATAAACTCCATGTTGCTACAGTACAAACAGGGTGTCTGTGTAAATCATTCTGGTTTCAGCACTCAGCTATACATTGATTTAAGCAAACTCAATCCAAAACCATCCATTCGACTAAAAAGAAAACAGAAAAAAAGACACACAGAGGTAGAAACTAAAATCTCTTTTGTGTCTGTACAACAATGTAGCTCGATAATCACTAGTGCTTTGTGTTTGCTGGACAGGAAACCACCTAACAGATAAAAAAAGAATACTGCAAAAGCAAACATGCCTTAAGCTACGTGGAGTTAAGTAAGAACTCTCTCTTTACAACAAATATATGTGATCAAAATAAGAGACAGGTCAACTGGCATTTGCCTTGTACAGTATGTAATGCAGAACATGTCATTTTAAGTACAGAATGCCCAGTGCCAAATCTTAATTGAGCGATGACTAAGCATCCTCTAAACCATCAGGGTTTGTTGTTTAAAGTGTTCTGTTTGCTGATGTTTTTAATCTGTTCTTTATTTACTCAAAAGATCAAATCCTAGTGTTCAATTTTGGGTGGGAGTTGTGTGCGTATGTGTGTCTGAAGCCACCAGCGAGCAAGCGTACCTGGCAACAGGAGAGGGAAAACAGGGCCTCAGTCCTACAGATTGTCACAGAAAAATACCGGCGAAGATGACTTTTTTCAGTTCATTTGTTTTGTTTATATTTTTAAGTCATTTTGTCTCCCATATGAGGATACGCCACTGTCCCAGTCCCAAAATATTTGGGTGGCACTTGCCCGTCTTCTTTGTCCTCTTCCCCCACCACCAGCTGCAGTGCTATGTCCCTCTGTCCCTGCCCCACAACACCTGTTCCGTCTGGTAGGAAGAGAGGTGAGGTGTGCGGCCCCACCACTCACCAGTCAGAACTTGGTTTCTTTTGTTACCTTTTATTGTAGTTTTGTTTTTTGAGCGTGCAGCAGTGGGACGAGTCTCTGGCATTTCCTGGCCTCTGGTCAGCTAGGGGAGGGTAAAAGGGTGGGCAGGGTTATGTCTCCTCCTTGTCGGGTTTGCTGACTGGTTTTCCACCATTCATGACCACTGGTTCGCTGGTTGTGCTTTTGGAAGGTGGGCCCCCGGCGAGTTTAGGCACCGCCTCCCCTACATCATGCAATGAAGGCTCTCGGTACATCGCAACTAGAGGAGTGGAGGGAGAAAAAAAGCAGGATGTGGGGGGGAGGATGTAGACAGTGAATAAGAAATTGGAAGACAAAGACAAAAGATTGGATGTGAAAATTATAAGAAAAATGTGTAATTAAACACTGTATAATCAAAAGAAACATAGTTTGGACTACAACAAAAAATGACCTCCACTTTGACAACATATATAAATAAAACCCTGGTTTGTGTATGTATGAAGACACAATATTCTACCTTCTATAGGTTTAGGTAGGAAGTGTGCAGCTGGTTTGGTCTTTTTGACTCTGTTGCCCTTCATGACCTGTCCCTCTTTATTGAGGCCCAGAAACCAGGCCCGGCCCGACTCTTTCTGTCTGTAGAGCATGGAGCTGTAGATCACATAGTAGTTCTCAAATACCGACTCCTTAAACTTGCACTCCGGTGTAAAGAGTTCCTGAGGAAACACACAGAGATACAAAGCCATTTTAGTCGTATCATTTTATCACAGTACAGAGTTGTGATGTGACAATTTATCACTATTTACTCATTGTCCTGTTGTAGTTGAAATACTGAACACGTGCATGAACATTTACTGGAAAACATAGAAAGTAATTCAGAGTTCTCCACTTGCAAAATGACTACTGAACTATATTCTTTTCCAGGATGAAGCAGCATTTATAGCCAGCACGGAGGCATAAAAATACTGAAACCGTATTGAGCAGCCACAGACAGGGAGGATTAGCGCAAAACTGGCTGACTGATGTATTGCTCTGACCCCCGACACTCTCTCTGTATGTACACGAACAACAAACTAAACAGTTAAAAAAAGCAGATTGATTCTGGTGACACCGAGCCCAAAAGATCTCACTCTCACACCTACATCAGCTCTGCCGCTATGTGTCAAAACTCCTTTCCATGGGTGCTGGCGCCTTCAGCGGAGCATATTTCAGCACAGAAACAAGGTGTTATTCCTACCCAGAGAAAAAAATGTCTTTGCCTTGGTGTCCGCTTGGACTGAGTCACAGCAAGTATAATAGGCAACCAGACAATAAACATTTTTTTTTTTAGGGAGGTCAGAATCCAGGCAGCTCTAAAATTTCATATTGCTTATCAGCAAACTGCAATTTCTCACACTATATTGGCCTAAAAACAATGATATATCATTTCTAATAGGATGTCAAGAGGTTTATTGTGTGATGTCAGTGCAACTTGAACTCAATCTTGGGTGGAAAGCGTTTCTATCAGGATGGCAGCTAGTGATTAATCAACTAATCTGTGGATTCTTTTGATTAATTAACTAGTAATTTAGTCAGTGAAATGGTAAAAAAATCTCCAGCAGCTCAAGGTGACATTGCCAAACTGTTTCTCTTGTACAAGCAATAAGGAATATTTTGCATGTTTTCCTGATGAATAAATAAATGATTTTTAAAAATTGTAGGCACTATTTCCTACTGTTCTAACATCCAAGTGTCTTCACTAAGCCAATATCGGAGAAGCAACACAGGTTCCAACAGTTTCAGTTGTACAACAAGTACAACTCTTTATCATTGTCTCTTAATATTTGGACAACATTAAGCTTTTATAAGCCTTGTGGGGAAATTTGATTATTTTAAACCCATTGTGCCAAGACATGAGTGATAATTACAACACTAAGATGATGTGGTAATACATGAAAGCAAAATAATCACAGTTGTAAACATCGTGAGACAGAAATACTGTATGTACAATAGCACCCTTTATGCAGCACAAATATAGAGAAAAACCTCTACAAGATCAATGCAAATATAGAACTTAAAAATATATATTTCTGATTTGATCATGGTTTTGAAATTCAGAATAATTTAAAGCTGCACCACTTGATTGTATTTAACCAGTTTGGGGCAGGGGAATATGTGGAAAACAACATCTGACATATAACCTTATGAAGTTATTATGTTAAACATGGTACCAAACTGTTGCCTATATTCACATGGAGCAACATTAGCATTCAGCTGGGTGATCTGGATTTGGATGTTTTTGTCCACATGACAAATCTGAATCCAGTATTTACTCTTCTTTTAGCTCTGGTTTGGTCTTCATCAGCACCACTAGCTCTGGTACTCGGGAGGCTGTGGTGTTTTGGCTGAAAGTAGTAAAAGAATGAGCTAAAAGCTTCATAGAGCTGTAGGAGAGTTGTTGATAATTGTGGGTTTGTAACTATAGCTCATTATACATAATTAATATAAAACAAAAATACTGATCAGTGCAGCTTTAACTAACCCTATTTGAATTTCTACTGTAATTTATTTTGTTTTTCCTTGCATGACAGGAATAATCCTTTCTTGGGGCAACATTGTTATGATGTTACAAATGTCACAAAGGAACTCTCATAATCATTTACATACACATTTTCCCATTGAGACATCTGCTGAGGAAATTTAAAAATAGTGTTAATAAACTACTCTTAATATGGCCATGGAGGCTCCTGCCAAACCAAACAATCACCCCTGTCATTCCCAGACCCCAGACTGGGGAGTGTTTGTCTAGACCACCTCTTATTGGCTGTTGTGGGCCTCTTGCCAGAGCCACAGACACATTGTCATTCAGCTCAGGTCTGTCGGTCCGAGTCTCATAGCAACATGAGGAAGAGAGGAGACACTGTAGCCGTGGCAACCAACCAGCGCTGAGAGGGAGGGGTCAGTGTGTGGATGGGTGTGTGTGTTGGGGGGGGGTCCTGCAAGAGCGCGTCAGTGGGAAATACACACATGCAACAAACACTTGCATTGGTTATTTAACATGTAATGTGCCATACCACATCCACTCATGCAGATGTAGGATGGCACTTATTAAAGATAGGGCTGGGTGGTAATAACGCAGCTGCGAAGGATCAGACACTGGCACCCATATAGATACGTGTGGCTCAAGGGGAGGAATGGAGGGAGGTGCAGGAGGGCTCCCTCCTGCACCTGGGATATCAAATGTGACTAAAAGATTTGTTCATAACTAAACAAAACAGGTGATAATGAAAACTATTTATTTTCAATGTCAGTCACACACACACACACACATCGCAACAGATCAAATATTCTCCTTTGTTAAGCATGGTTTTGATTCATATTAACAGGAGGCTGTTCTCTGTAGAGCTTAATATTTTTCATCCCTGGATTAAATTAGGTTAATAATGTATATTTAGTCTAGACCTGCATCCTAGATTCAACATTCATTTGTTAAGGGGGATGATGTTGTGCAGAGAACAGGGCCAGACACTTAATAATGTTGGTCAGCAAGGTCATACATCATTTAACGCTGCCTTTAAAATAAAACATGTTTGATGTCTGGCAGAATTTAGAGAGAACAGGTGACGAGTAAGGAGGACTTCACAGCCTTACAGGTGAGTCATTCTACCCGCACTGCTTGCCTGAAGGGGCTTCTGCTGTCATTTCTAAACAAAGTAGCTATGTTCACAATATACCCAGAGAAAGAAGACAGGGAGAAAGAATGAATGAAATGAATGGAGGGTGGGGTGGATGGGGGAGTTGGAAACTGGGACATGAAGAAGAGGAGAGCGAATAAATCACCCAGTGAGGAGGACGATGCCTCCTGATTGGAAAAACAACAGGGGATTCTCTCTCTCTCCCTCCCCTCTTATCTTTGTGTTTCTCTCATCGCTCCATCACTTCTCTGTGCTTTGCAGGGATTTAGTATAAGTGAACACACTGCACACATGCATGTACATACATGCATGGGTGCTAGGCGGAATACTAGTCATAATCAGTCTGTGAAGAGCCTATTAACTTGTTAAACATTTTGCTCCAAAACAGACTTAATTGATACAGGCAGCACTTTGTCCCTCGTCCATTAAAGATCCAAAAATAAGGAATACACAAACAGAGTGAGAAAAACAATCTCAACTCTTGGCTCAGTACAAGGCTGCACTAATAACAGAACTTGGCAACTAGCTGCCCAGTGCTACCTCAGCTTGATTGCTATCCACTGGGAGCTTCCCAGTACAAGCACAGTGCTACAGTAAACTACTGTGAATAATTACTGTTCAAGCATGTTTTCTTTGGTGTCTACCAAAGCTTTTAATTCATATACAATCAGGAACAGGTCTTGCTGAAGGGAACCGGAGGCTCAGACTGCGGGAGGGCAGAGAGTTCAGGCCAACCAGGGCAGCTGCTGAATAACAGCGATGCCACAAGGCCACCCGAGATGTGACTCTGCAGCTTCACAGCACAACGGGTTTATGATGGCAACACAAATGGAGACCACAAGGTCAGCCTGTGTTTCCTGCTACGTGAACACGTTTTCTGTGGTGGTGGTGATTTCTGATCAGCTCCTATTCGGTAACACATACTGTATCAAACATAACCAAGTCCGCTTGTTGATTTTCTCAAAAATGCTGCTAGAAACACATTTAAACACCCTTACTTCATAATGATCACATGGCAAGCCTCCTATTCAGCAGAGATACGGACTAAACCTTCTTATCATCGCTCTGCATTCAGTAAATGAAAGAACATAAACATAATTAACATGAGGTACGTAATTAAAGCATGATACATGGATGGTAGGTAAGAAATGTGATGATGAACTATATGCCAGTCCCTACAACATTAAGTTTAATTTAGTAGAATTTATAGTAATTTGATATGACTTTGGTCAGTGTCTGCCAAAATAATTATGGATGACCTTTATCAAAATGATTCATAAGGGCTGTTTTATGATCTGCCACAGCCCAAGTTGATGTTAAATTTAAGCACAAAACTACTTGGCTAAGGTAAAGGACTGAGCACAGTCATGGTTACAAGAAAACGTTGACACACACCGTGCTGAAACGACAACGCAGTATGACTCAGCCTTAGGTTCTTACATAAAAATGTGTTTAATTATTGAAAATCTGTTTCGTGATCCATAAATGTGGGGAGGCATCGTTCAGATTGATTCCCCCTCATTTAAAAGGGAGGTGCAGTTTCTTTAATCGCAAAGGAAGTTGTTTTTCATACCAGTGTATATGAACAATGTGTGTCTGTTTGTGTGCACTGCTCAGTGAGTGGGTGTGTTTGTTTCCAACACCAGTTATTATCACAGCACTAATTACCCAGGGGAATTGTGGGTAAACAAATCATTCTAAAGAAAAGAAGCCCACAGAGAAGAAGGAAGACAGGGAGTGGAAAGAAAAGTGTCGGGACACGGAAACAAAACAGTGAAGAGCGTGGATAGAGAAGGAACATGAAAGGATGTCCCTCAGCACAGACACACTGAATCAAAGCACGACTTAGACAAAGAGTACATCCCAAGTCTCTTATAAGCATCATCACATCCTTCACTTGCATCTTTTCCTTGCACCTTAGTCCCACAATTTAAGACAAGGAGCAGATTCAAGGAAAGCATGTGAGGATTTAAGGAAACATGTTATTAATGACATTAGACATCCTTTCCTCCGGTCCCTTGTTTGAAGCATCCAATCACCAA